TGGGGATCGATTCAATTTGATCGAATGTAAAACACAATGTCTATTACTGCACGCCAACGCCTGTCGGAGCTCTACCGAAAGAATTTTACATTATCTTCTTGAATGCAATCGTTAAATTTAAACATATACGTGCATATACAATAGTCCCTAACCCAAATAGGTGAACACGAAGTTTGTAAGAAAACTTTAGAAATTCCCTGTGTTTTAAGAATTAGCGTGTTTTAAGTGGACAGTTTTCGTTGCATTTGTTAACTTGGAGAGAAAATTCTTTCTTTTATTTAATCTGCCAGTCTCTTTGAACTGTTTCGAACAAGAATAAAACCATAAACACTCGACACTGGCCGAATCCACTATTGGTTTTTATTTATAAAAACGCTGAACCTTAAAAGGTTCAAAAAAAAAAAAAATTATTTCACATTCTATTAGAGCCGGAGTTAGTCGTTAGTCTGTTGTAGGTTAGTTGATTTTAAATACCAATGCATTTACTTCAAGATAATAATTTACGAATTATAGGTATACAAAAAAATTTAGATTTTTTATTGATATAATTTGAATTAGTCGGTTATGAGGTCAAGTGGATTACGTGTTGCTATTCTTTATATCAAAACAAATCATAAACAATATACTAATACTAAAAGTATGGATAGATTTTGTTGCCAAGAATTTGTTTCTACAAAGCTGAATCCAAAATAAGATTCCACAATCTCTTTTAGATATAATCCACATTATGATAATCTATCATAGAAAATATTAAATAAATATCCACTATTAAGTAATTACAGATTTGGCATTCGAACCTTTTTTGTGTATGTATCTATACATATAATAAAATTGGAGTGTCTGTGATAAAAAAGAAAAATTTCAGATTTCGGGAAGATGCTGTATTTACATTTCTGATAACGAAAATTGCATTTAACTTTTTTTTGTCTGTCCGCTAGCCGCGTTTGTTTAGGGTAATCTTCCGGATTTTGACTAAAGGGTAGCTGACATAGATGGGCATATTACAGGCTACTTCATCTTAATATTGCAGGGGCGAAGTTGCGGACAACAGCTAGTTTAAGATAATTACGTTTTGTGTTATGTGCACTGTTGAAATTAAAAAGGTATGTAAATTCAGTCGTGATATACATTGAATCCTACATCATTAAAACATTTGAACAATATCGTTAAAAACTTGATTTAATATTCTCTATTCTAATTGATTCTTACTTGATTTTTTTAAGCTTCATGAGGTCGTTGCTCTTTCCAAATATTGCTCAACATATGAAGTATATTTTACCTTTCATCTTTTAATTTAGTACAGAGTATAGCGATTTGTCTACGAAAACTGTTTTATAATTAGATGAACCGTGTTCCATACTAACGTAACTGTTTCGTCATTTTACAATTTCCTGCACGTAGACTGTCTAATGCACACATGTGGAGTTTTTACGGTAGACACAATAACTAAAAATATTTGGTAACAATTTAATAATTGGGAGTTTAATAAATAACATTAATAAAACTAAATATTTAAAGAGAATTTGAGATCAAACGCAAGTTAGTTATGGGATTTATTGACAAGGATAAAATTGCTAAAATAAGCGGACGTTATTTTTAGTTTTATTGAATGCTCTATTTAATGCTTATTTTTAGTAACCGATGTCGTTGTATATTAATACTATCTATGGATAAAAATCAATACTATGACAAAGCAACAGTTTAAATATATAGTAAATATTCTAGTATATTGCATTGTTACTTTATTTTTTAAACTTTATATTGTAACCTATAACTAACTTTTAATATAAATATGAACTGTGCAGTGCCAATATAAACATTGTATGTTTAATTGCACCAAGCTGTGTTAACACCATTATGTAAAAATGTTTTCGTTGAAATAAATAAAATAAAATGAATGTTTGTTTGCTACATATCGCGAACACATTAATAGATATCGATGAAATTTGGCAATTGTTTTTTTTTCAGGCGGACGAAGTCGCGGGAAAAATACTTTAATATTACCATGAGTTCTGTTGCCGACATAAAAGTAAAATTATCACATCTTTGTTTTCAAAAAGGTCAAAATGGATGACAGTTTGTTTTTGCACAAATGTTTTAACAGTGGAAACTCAGGGTTAGTGACAACCATTCATTCGTCCGCAGCTTCCTGGAGTTACTAGATAGCTTTTAGTTTATTCCAGGAATAACGAAAGTGGTTTTGTTAGAATAGTAAACCTAGATTCCATTCATATCTCTGCCCTAGGAATAAACAAGAAATTGTTATAATATATTTTTTGTTCGGAGATTGAATATCTTACTCTTTCTAATATTATAAATGCGATAGTTTAGTTTAGATGGATGGATGGATGTTTGTTAGAGTTAGTAGCCTGAACGGCTGAACAGATTTCGATTAAATTTGGTACAGATGTGGAGGATAGTCTGGAAGAATACATAGGCTACTCACTATTGTTTTTTTTTAATTCCACGCAGACGGAATCGCGGGCGAAAGGTTTTCATTTATAAATTAACTATGATTTAGTTCATAGGCTTAAAACATTCAGTTATTAGTGTTGTTGTGTTCTTTTAACTCCTAACTTCAATTGAACTTTGATGGACATAATAAATCTTGCATTTAATAGTCTAAACATCGCTTGTTATGTCTTCTGAGATTCATTTGTTTCCTTTTTTGCTATTAGACTGTATTCGTCGACAGATGTCGGGTTGTTGAGACGAAAGACACTGTAGTACCTATTATCGTCGGCTCGTAAACGCTGAATGACGTCATTTCGCAAGGAGGACGTCTGAGATCTCAGTTTAAGAACCACTACACCGGCAATAAACCAGTGCCTTTATCTTATCTGATCCGTCTTAAAGAGAAACTCAGTGGAAAACAATAAAACAACATAAAAAAGTTTACGTGAGCAATTAAAATGATAAAACTCTTTGAATTAGTTTCTTACTTTTTTTAAAGATGCCACATCAGTTAAGGAATGCTGGTTGTTTGAACCGATTTAATGTGTTTCAATTTATTACGTCAAAATTGTTCAATAATTTACATATTTTTCGTATTTTACGAAGTAGATATTTGATGTTTGAAAACAATCGATTTCATTTAATTTTAGCAGTAAGTAAGTACTGGGGTGAAGTTTCGAAATGATGTATTAGATATACAAACGTTGTAAAACATTGAGTCTGATGGTACGCCTTTCACTTCCTTAAAACAATGCAAACGTTTGCGTCACTTACCAAAGGGATACATGGCTCCTTTCCTACACCTGTACCTTTTAAGCACACTATGATGATAAGTAAATGTTTCAAGTTTGAGACTACGTAAGAGGACATTATAGATTGAAACATTTCTTTTTTTTCTGAGGTTTAAAGAGAAACCTATCTAATGACAACAGAACAGAATTATTGACTAAAATGATTTTAGTATTTTTTGTGTAATTTACTACATGTTATGTATTTGATTTAACCGTTAATACATTATTAAAATTGGGCAGTCCCCGATGTGCTAATCGGCCCGCCGATCTATCAACCTAATGGGAAACAACCTTAAAATTAGTTTGCATATTACATGCGGCGTGTGTTGTTGCAAAAAAGTAAGTTATTATAAATTACTATAAAATCTGACATCCAAATTTAATAAAATAGGTGTTAATTCCTTTATCGTTTACTTGTTTTCACATTTCTTGTTTAGTTTACATGACCTTCAATCATGCGAATGCATTAAAACCGCCTCAAGTTCGCGCCAAAGACAACAAAATTGAGAGCGTTCTGCTATAAATTATCCGGCGTTTAATAATAATAGAATGATTTATTAGTTTTTCTGTATGACATTGTGGTTAATCAAATATTCAACAAGACATTTTCGAGGTTTCATTTGATATTAATGCAAGGATTGAATGCTTTTTACGTTTTATCAGTTCAGAGACAAAAACATCTCGGAGACGTTTATTGCTGTGATTAATGAGAAGTAAATTCACGAAACGCTAATGTAAAATTGCTACTTTGCTACATTTGTTAAATGTAAATCGATAAACGTCTAATGGGTGACGACAAACTATGACTCATTCGTAATACTTGCCAAACGCAATTATATACAAAGAAAACCAAAATACATAGAAAACAAAAATGTGTTTAAAATACATCATCTCCCCCACCTTATCCTACTCCCGTAGGGCGGCGAATGTCTGAAATATATATTACTTATATTAAAACCGCGAAAGCATGTATGGATATTTGTTACCACTTAACTCCAGAACAGCTGCAAGGATCTTGACAAAATCTTGTAAAGGTGTAGAACATAATCTGTAACTATCGACATATTATCTATCTGTCTAAACCGTGCGAAATATACTAAAATGTAGGGACATCGAAAATTTACCAGGTCATATACACGGCACTTATTTTAATAGCTAAGTAGTGGAAATTTTACTGCTTTCCAACGTAAAAGTTGCCATTTAAAGGTTAATAAAATAACTACACTAACGAGGCATACTCCGTAGTTCATAAACGTGACACCAGATCTTGATGTCCTATCCTACTTAATATAATTTTCTAAAGTAAACGATTGTGCTGAAGCATACTGAATTAAAACGGCCCGGGGAGCAATCTTTGTTTGATAGTGATTACGGATTTTGATAACACTCTTTATCAAATACTCTTTTATTGTATTGTTTGTAAGACACGGATTTCTTAGGTAATTTACTGAAGTAATGCGGTAGTTTGAAAAAAAAAACGCATTTTTCACATTACCGCATTACTTCAGTCAACCCGTGAACACGGCGAATGCAACTGTACCGAAAAATCGAGAGCTCAAACAACCCAATCGTCATAAAAAACCCGTATCATACGAACATTATATCTGTAAAAACTACGACAGTAAACTCTTTAATTATTCAAACTATGCACTAAGCAGTACATTTGTAACCTTTTATGATGCAGTTGTAAATAAGAACCCAGTGTAGAAACTAATTCGTATTGTTTTCTAGTTTTGTTTTTTTATTTTGTTGCAGGTTCCGGAAATACCTGATAGATGGAGACTGATAAAATGTCAACAGCGTCGTCGACGGGGGCAGAGCGACGACCGCTATTGCAAGCTTTGGTCATCGAGCGCCGCATCCTCTTCGCTTGTACGGTTCTCGTCGGCCTCTGCACGTTCATCTGGATAGCTGCTGTCTGTACGGAGAAATGGGTGCATATTGAAGGAGGCAAAGGTTATTTTTTACTTCACTATTCTTTACTGCGTTTATGATTGTTCAATGACTAAAAAACTCAGCAATTACGGAGGAGTGCTGGCAGCTTGTCAATCTAGTCACCGCCATATGTCGACGATGCCAAGTTTATCACGATTAATGGCACAGAAGAAGGGAAAAGATAATGATATAATATCACCCCTCTTCTTATCAGAAGATCGTTATTATCGTCAGCCCTTTACCATGAAAATTTACAGAACTAACAGAATTAATCTTATTTTCATCCAAAACATAATCTTGTAAAGTAAATCAAACTCGAATGTTTACTTTGCTCCGCGAATCACACATAAAAGCGGTATCATCTCATCTCGACCAATCTGCCACACTAAATTTTTAAATGATGTATAAATAAAATTAATCTTTTCTGGCACAAAATTTTTGTAAATATTATTGAATCCCTCCACGTGCGAATGTATGGACGATGACTTGGATTGTGCATCTGGACTGTTATGTTGAACATAATAATTGTGTGAGGAAGTTGTCAACTGTTGAGTGCGAGATCCAAGGCGCAGTCGGGAACGTATTATTAATTACGGACGTGTGGCAGTGGGGTCGACGAACGTCGGTCTATTTCTGTAGACCGTACGCAGATCGAGTAAGTGATTCCACATAGATATAATGATATGAGATTATTTTATTTTCGGCAAACGTAGTAGATAAAGCTATTAGATCCGTGACACACTGTCGCGAAAGCGAAGCGTAATGTGACATAAAAATTAAACGAAAATGTACCGTATAGTTGGCTTCAATCAAAATTATGTTTTGAGATGTAAATATAGCTTCTAAATAGTTCTTTGTAATAAATCAAATACTTGGAAGGTGTATATAAAAATGAGGTTGATTCGGTTCAAATTCTTTTTCGCAAAAGGGCAATAGGAGTTTCAGAAGTGCTAGAGGACAGTTATTTATTTATGGTTTTCTTTTGTTTCAGGTGTATACCTTCCATCGAGAGGTATATATTTGATGTGGAGTAACTCTGGCATGTGGGAGATTTGTCGATACTTATTCCATCCCGCGCCGACTTCGCCTGTCAAATATAACGGTACCGCTGGCACTACTACACCTCGGCCGTACGACGTTGAGGGTATGGTCGGTGAATATTTTACAAGTAAGTGTAATAAATTATAAATTCACTTAGAGCGAACTTTTGGTAGTGGACCACCGTGATTGACTAAGGCCTATTCACCTTCAACTCAGTGGAGACATGTAGTGAGCTGGTGATGATGAAAGTTACGAAAATTTAACCTGTTTAAAACTATATTTTTTCTCAACAATTAACAAAGCAGTTTGGTATCTTTTATATCTATAATCAAGAACTTCGTGTTAATATCTCATGATGGTTAGTTATTTTAGTTTCACCACTCGAAAATAGAAACCGTCTGTAAAATTTCGTCCCAAAATAGACAATGATTACATTTCAGCTCTCAAGCATTACAAAGAAATTGATTTATCTGACAGCCTGTGTACAAATTGCGTGTAAATTGTTACCTAAATATCGTTATTCTTGTTATACATAACCACTCTTTACAGCTGAATAGTTTATGTCTTACCATCTTAGTTACTACGCGCTTCTGCTTACATAAAAAAGATAGTTGACTTAAGAAATAAACAAACCGATCTGTAGAGTTTGTTTGAATAAGTATTTTTACTAAGAAACAGAGAAAACAAGTTCGATAGAAAAGTAAACCAGCGGGAGTTAATGGAGTAACCGAGTGAGATAAAGCAGAATGCTGTGAAAAAAAATAAAACGAAATTCTTCAACCTTTGCGTAACATTCTCGCTAATGGACTTGTACATACATCACTCTATTAACAAGAGTGTATCTTTGTTTGAATTGAACTTTTTTATTCATATGTACGTCCGTTTGCGTACGTGATTGAGTTTAATAGATTACCCTAACATTTTTAAGATTGGAAGAGAGTTGTTTACTTTTTCGAAAATTGGGATATTCGTAGCTGCTTTATTTTTATCCCTTTGCATGGTGCGGGTTTAGTTTTGAATAGCTTCGCTTAAGCGTTCATTAAAGCATTCCCGTAGACATTGTTATGAACGAATAAATTGGATACTTAAGTGCGAGTTCATAAGATTTTTCTTCGCGTGTGTAAAATATAGCTAAAGGTACTAAATATCTGTTAAACTTCTATCACAATTAAAGATTTTTTACGTTACTTTAAATTTTAATAGAATAAAACTGTACTTATCTGCAACAAGAGTATTTCTGCGTTATTTTTATAACTAACAGGAGATTGTATCTAATTTTAAACCAAAACAAATCACGATGATTGACTCGAATTTATTCTTGTTTGAATTAAAATCCAAATTAATTCGCTTTCATTAGTAGTTTAATTTTAAATGCTATAAATATTAAATGAAAGATAAACCTTCTCTGAGTTTTTAATCTACGTTTTAATATCTTTTGATATTTATATTTCCGACGTAACAGATAAAGCTCGGCATCAGTGACAAATTAGTGGGCATTAAAAGCTTCGTTATATTTGAAATAATGAGCTTGGTAAAACGTTGGTAGCGACTCTAAAGTACTGCAATCTGCAGCAAAATGTTTATTTTTAAAAATTGATATTTAAAAGCAATCCACATTTTACGACCTAACGACGGAAATAGAGCGTTCAGTGCTAGTGGATAGTTAGATGGAAAAAAAGATTCCCTCTTAACTTCAACCAGTTGCTAAATTCTGTAGGAATTATTCAACTAATTATTCATATCTTCGAAATTCCATCATTTTTAGATATCAAGGTCATTCGAAACGACGTCCAGGGATGCCCACAATATTTTCCCGGAGAAATAAAAAGTTCATACAGCTCGACCCACACAATAAGATTTATAGTCACCGATAAAAATACCACGTGGTTTTTTCAAGTCGCCACTGGCCTATATCCATATAGCTATACCGACGTTACGTAACTCGATAAATAAATAAACAAAAGGCACATTGCATAGTTAACGCTACGGAAACAGAAATGACTACAGAAATAACATCGCTTTTTAAAACTATCGGCTGATTTTGCTCCGAGCAACGGCGGAGTAATCACGGCAACAATAAAAATTATATGATGCTTTTCCTTGTTAAACATCCGAATGAGACATTCTATAAGAAATTGAATTTAACTAATAAAGTTTTGTTTATCTTCAGTTTTGTTTTACAATAAGAAGGACCTTTTAATCTTACCGTACTTTCGGATCTTAGTATCATCATTATCTCCCCTGCTTTATTCTACTCCCGTAGGGTCAGTACACAGCGTTTTCGTCCTACAAATAACTCTATCATCGGTCATCTCAGTCACTATTATAGTTATTTTAAAATCAATCAGAGACACATCTATACTATAATGTTATTAAGAGGAAAGATTTGATTGTTAGCGTTAGCTCCGAAACTACTTAACCAATAACAAAAATCTTTTGGCCATTATAAAACTCCATAATCACTGAGTACCTTAGACTATATTTGACATCAACTGGAGGTTCACTAGTTTCTAGTGGGAGATATAATAAAAAAACATATGTTTTATGTTACTTTTATAATTCTGGCGAATGTTTTTTGGATGAATCTGATTGATGCAGTAGATGCATGCAATTTGCAGTCAGATATTTTTCTACATAACTTCTTTATCACCTTATGATTCATTTCATAACGCTTGCCAAATATTGAATTGCTCGACATAGACGATCGCATACGAATGTTCCTTCTCGATTAGCATAGATTGAATGTCTTTATTTATTATATTAGCTGTAATATGAGCATGAAAACAATTGAAGAACATTTATTCAAATATTATTGGCGGTTTGAAATCAAGTAGGGAAGTGAAAGTTGGTATTAATGTTTTGGTCAAAGGTCCATATTTAAATGAATAATATTTTAAATAGATCTCTTGTTAATAATTAGCTAGGATGATTCATTGTCACGAAACTATTGCTCTAGCCAATTCTCTTGGCACAAAAGGTGATTATGGACACTTCCAAGAAATAGCACTTTAGTTTGCTAGCGTATTATTATGGATTTGTTACTAGCGCCAATGTTCTTGTTTATTGGTAAATACACACAATTCCGATACAATTAACGCAAATGAAGAGATTTGATTGTTTGTTGTCATGGAATAGACTTCGAAATAATAAATCGCGGGCAAAATTTAGTGTCCAATAAATTTAGTTTCTTTTACCTAATGCCTGTTAATTATGGTTATTTTTGCGTTCAAAAGAAGTCATTCGAAAAAGGGTAAAAATGTTAAATCTAAACTAGTTAGTATAACATTGCTTGATTAATTACTACAACTGTTATTATGTTATCAATGTCATAGAGTAAATTTTACCTTTTAAATAAAATACTATAGTTTGTCTAAATAATTTAGATTAGTTTGATAAATAACGCATATGAAGTATCGAATTCTATTTGTATGAAAGCAAATGCCATAGTTAATAGACAGGTATCGTACAGTGACGAAACAAACACGCATAGCGAACAATTTTGAACTATCGATATTCGGTTTAAATAATTATCGAACTCAACTAAAATTATTATTTTCTTATAACTAGTTTGAGAAGACAGTGTTTTTTTTAATTCATAGGTTATAACTATAAATCTATCGATTCCAACTTCTATAAAAATAATAATCGAAAATCGATCAGATTAATGACTGATTTTACACAACCCATCCCTACTAAATTTGAAGTGAATTGTCAAACTAATCTAAATTATTTAGACACACTATAACATAATCAATTCCCAGAAGTCTAATTAAAACGATGTTACTGTGTGTTTTGATTCAATTAATTCAGATGACTCGTAATAAAAGTATGTGAAACAATTGTAATGCACATGAAAGACATTTGGGGAACATCTGGTCCGCATTACGGCGAGACGATCGTCTGGTCGACTTCCAAACGAGCCAAATAAGAATAAACATGCCCATTTTGTTTAATGTTTCAAAACAAAGAGTTCTCTTAAAATTTATAGCATTTTAAACTATGTTAGTTTAATAGTGTTGCTATTTTAAATATTCCCTTTACATATTTATTTTTAAACGAGCTGTCGCCCACATATTTGGACCACCCGTTACGCCATTTTGACAGCGCGGAATTTTTAAAAAGTTGCCTTTAATATGCCTGTCTATGTCAGCTACCCTTTAGTGAAGGGCAGTCAAAATCGACCCAGCCATTTTGGAGACTGAGACTGGCAGACATACAGACAGGTAGACAAAAAACATAAAATTAATTTTCATTATCACTAACGGAAATATTACAAAAATACACTCCAATTTTATTACATGTATAGATAAGATATAGACGATTTAAATGAAACTATGAAATGTTATAGAAGTAAATATTATTTTTTAAAAGATAAAGTATTACAAAGTCAGATTCATTAGTATCAAAGTGGATTACAACGATTCAACAAACGCAAAGTACCAAGAAGTTCAAAGAGTTTGTGTTCGTTGCTGACGATCGAAATATCTCAAATAACCTGATGCTCATTACGTGAACAATAAACGATGTACTTAAACTCGATGATATTTCATTTCAACTTCGTTTTAAATGTAAAAGCTTCTTAATTTCTCTTAGAACCAAAATTTAAGTACTCATAAGAAAAATAATAAAGTCAAGAGTGATAAGATTAGGCTGCTGACATAAATATAGATGTTTAGTCAGTCTAGATCATCCTTTTGTTGTAGATAACATCTGACATTTCGAAAAGGAGGTGAATCCGTTGTTGTGCACAAAGGATTGGAACAAATTTTCAACATCAGTGTTTCCATTCATTGATGACAAGATCTTTAAAAGGAACGTGAATGCTAAAATGAAATTACAATATCAACTTTTGAATATAATCGACAAATATTATAGTGATAAATCATCGATATACTAGAATTTTCTTGCAACTTAATCTATATGAAATAAAAAAATATCTTGCTCAAAAATAATGCAACTTTCTAATGGTTTGATTTCTTAACCATTAGGAAGTTTTATAAGTAGTGAACGGCCCAGAACTTTTTAAGATTAATAGTTTCATACATAGGTTATTTCCTAAGAGAGATATGGATTATTTTTAAATTACATCTGTATAGTTTTCCACTTAATCTCCATCATATAGGGAAATGTGTTCTCTTACAAAAATATAGTAGAAGAGAAATGTGTAGTTAAAAATACAATTCGCATATTAGTTTTCAGTTCCATTAACCTAAATACATTGTTTAAACAGTTAAAAGATAGGACAGTCACGGCTGAGTTGTTATGTCGCAGTAAAAATGTTTTTCGTCAAAGAATTACAACACCCTGTCAACGTCTGTAGAGGAATACAAAAATGCTTGAGTTACATCTATTTGTGTTATTAGGAGTACGAATGTCTGTGTGAATTTGTAGATATATCATAACTGAACATTTCTCTCGATGTCATACTTACTATACTAATATTATAAATGCGAAAGTGTAGATGGATGGATGGATGGATGGATATTGATGAAATTCGGTATAGATTTAGAGGATAGTATGGAAGAACTCATAACCTACTAACTTTTGATTTTTTTATTCCACGCGGACGGAGTCGCAGGCCAAAGCGAGTATTTCAATACTTGTTGTTAATTAAAAAGACATAACAATTTATTTTTTTAAAGAATGACAACGGTCAAAGGTCCATAAATGTCTATGACATCAATGGACTGGTTTTTTATAAATTTTAGTTACGAATTACCATCTACATAAGTGTGATTTTACGGCGCAAATGAATCTTTAAGTGCTATTACAATGTTAAATTACTGCTACTCGTTGGCAACTTTTACCTTCTTGGCAACTGTTTGCTACATTATTTGGTCATAAATATTACATTAGCAATTTAAAAATAATCAACAGATAATTAAACCACAAGTATTTATCGTAATCACAATTAACAGATTTAACTTGTACTGTTCTCTAAAGTATATTGAAAGAAACAAAAATTTAATATAAAAAGTGAAATGAAAGACGCGATTCGCCTTTTATAAGGGTCTGTAATCTGCTTTAAATGTCGTATTTAATTTGAATGATTCTAAGATTTTTTTTTTATTTTTTACTTCTAACTAATGTTCTAAATATGAAAGTTTAGATGGATGGGTGCATAGACGTTTTTTTACCACGTAACTCCAGAACATAATCTGGAAGAACACACAGATTCTTAGTTTTTTATTTTAACTCCGCTAAGACGTAGTCGCCAGCCAGTCGTTATAATTCTAAGAATAATAATTACATGATCTTATAATCGTAGTATTATGGACTATAAATATAATAATACGTTATAAGCATTAAGTCCCGAGGTCATCAAATATTTACTTCGCAAACAATATCGACCTAAATAATATCGGTCATCTTGAAAGCTCTAATCAATTTCTCTGAGTAGTACGCAATAAGCGTTTTGTAAACATTACTTTGTATAAAGGATATTATCAAAATAATTAAAAGCTTATTCGTGTTATAAATGTTAAAAACAATATCATCTAGAATCATTATTATCAATTACGAGTTCACACTTGATCCATTGAAAATTCTAAATCTACTGAAGAACTCACTTTAAAATATGGTAATACTTGCTTGACTCGACTCCGTCCGCGTATATTTAAGAAAAAAAAAAACAAAATTAAGTAGCCTATGTGTTGTTCCAGACTATCCTCTACATCTGGCCAAATTTCATCGAGAACAGTTCAGCAGTTTAGGCTACAAACTGTAATAAAGATCCATCCATCCATCTATCCTTTTTTATAAACTTTCGCATTTATAATTTTAGTCAGATTAATTAAGTGCAGCGAATTGTAAAAACGTCATCGTTAAAGCTTTATTATCAATTCTTCATAAATTCAATCATGTATTCAGCATTCGGTTCATTTCACAATAATTCCTTTAGAGATCGACGGTTCAATTATTTCCATTGATGTCCGCTTGAACAATAAAACAACAAGAGAGCAAATTTTATTTGTCATCCGCTTCGCATTTAATTTAATGTTTTTTTCATTGTTATTTCACTGCTAATTAAAATGTAAAAATAGCCGGTTGTTTTCAATATTATATATTCAATTTGTTTGTTACAGATTGTACTAATTATCTCGCGCAACCGGTTATGAAGAATGGAAAGCCAGAAGACCCTGCCTATGATATAGATGTAGCTAGTAAGTAATACTAATTATAGTCAAGTGTGTATTGAAATATCTCAAAAACTATAGGGACGATTTAAAAAAATCTTTCACCATTAAAAAGCTACGTTATTAGTGAGTAACATAGGCTATTCTTACGATGTTTTAATTCCACATGGACGAAATCGCGAGCAAGCAATATCTAGTTGTTAATAAAAATCTCAAGGTGGTTTTAGTTTTTTTTTTTAATAATCGTTTTAAACAATAAATTATTATAACGGTAACGTTGTCTATGATGTGCAGCTAATTCTATATCAACTGAGTTATTATGACATTAGATTTGATTGATGAATCAGATGTGTAATGACTCGCAATAACTTTTAGATTCCTTTTAATAGTCCTTTGAAGTCTGATAAAAAACGGTTATAAAGTACGAATAGATTTGATCCAATATAATGCAACGCGTGTTAGAACCGAATTGCAGTAATGTTATTTTTGCAGATTATGTTCGAACAATGGTATCTTTCGGCATCATCAGTCTTTTCGTGATGGCCATGGGGTGCGGTTTCTCCACCTATACATTCCGCAACCCTCGCTACATGTTCAAGCGGCTTGCAGCGGGGATACACTTCATTAGTAGTAAGTTGTGTTTTGACAGTTGTATAACCATAGTTAATGGTATTTGAATTCAATATAAGTATAAGTGTGCTCATTATCTAATTACATGCAGTCTCACTGCCACACAGACGTTTAAATAAATGAATAAAAAAAAAATTCAAAACACAAACAACAAAATTTACAGAACTTATTAATGAAACAAAAAAATAGTTCTCGGTCGAAAGGCTCTGCTGATGCGGCCTCCCACTTGTCACTGAAGGCCACGCTGGTATTCAGCCTCCCGCTGCCGTTTAGGTACTAAGCGACACTTTAAACGTAAACTTCTTAGGATAACAGCACTATGGAACTTTGTAATTACTAAGCTGCTTTGAGTACGGACGTCATAACATTCAATTGCCTTTGTTTAAAATGTTACAAATTTTCAGCTTCTTGCACATTCGTGGTGGTGCAAATTACAATGACCTGCATTGACCATATGAAGAAGAACGTCAAATTCGTATATCCTGAGCGCGCTTACCACTAGTAAGTAAAACCATAGGAAATAATTATCATTCATTCATTAGTTATTTTTGCTCATTTGTCATTTGATAACTGAATGAAAAACTTGTGAGTCTCCCGTGTATTGTATTACTAGCTTTCGTCCGCGACTCCGTCCGCGTGGAATAAAAAAAAACAATAGTAAGTAGCGTATGTGTTCTTATAGACCAATCTATGCGAAATTTTATCAAGATCCGTTCAGCTCTTTAGGCTACAAATGCTAACAAACATCCATCCATATAAACTTTCCATTTTATAATAGTAGTATTAGTAAGATATACTCGTACTCGTGATTTTTATGTCATCCAGAATAATTGAGCTGAATAAAAAATAGACACAGAGGGCACAGATACTTTCAAAGGGGATTAGGCCATAGACACGCGACCCCATTACAGATTGGCAGTCTCCAAGTGATTGTATCGACAATACGTGTGCCAATCTGGGGATACAATTCTATTATACAAGTTCCTTTATACTTTGTCAAATATAATTATAATATAACTATGTCTTTTCTAGCTATCACATTAGTTTCTTCCTCGCCTGGTTCGTAGTTCTCGTCAATCTTTTCGCTGCGGCATCGTTTCTTTGGTATTCGAGGAAAAGGAAAGGCGATAAAGCGGCAACAGATGAACTCGCTATGGCCGACGAGCCGACGATCATCGGACGATGACGTCACAGGCGTATCACATCCAAGCGTTCTCTCAAACCGCTCGGAAACTTCAAACTTCTACTGAACAGTGCTCAAATGACCAATAGCTATATCAATATTTCGAAAGTCTTCCATGTGTTTGTACTTATAGAAACATAGATATATCTATAGTTACATCGAATGCATCTTGTAAAAAATCACATTAAAAATATCTGAATTCATGCAAGTTGTAAATAATTTGCAATGTTTATTATTTTCGCCTTGTTAATCTTATAAGTATTCGAAACACTATAAAATGTTTCAGTATTCGCTTCAAATGTTATTTAAATTTCGAAGAATTCTTTAAAAAAGGTAATGTATCCTAAGACTTATGGGATTAACGAAGTATGACTATGTTATTGTTGTCTTCATTAATGTATGTATGGTGTTATTGTGTAGATATATTTTGTTCATTTTAGCTCAAGATTAATGTAAGCTATAAATCAACTTACTTTAAATTTAGTAAGACATCAACTCTTATAAATCAAATTCCAGATATTTTCAAACTTTTTGCCAACAATATAATGAAATATCTTATATTCACCCCAGATTTGTTCTGATTATATAACTTCATATAATCACTTAACAATGATATTTAATCTTGTTATATTTAAGTAGGGACCATCCCAGTGCCTGTTTCTGCTGTGTTCAAGCGTTTCGTTCATTATTAAAGTTTACTAGTTAAAACATTTAGCTAAAAGAACTTATATGCTATTATAAAATCTATTATTTTTTTAACTTAAATAATGTATTTATGTATGTATGTATAGGTATTTATATGTATTATCTTTGATTATAACTGAATGCCATTCGATCTTGTATGTTTTAGTAGAAACAAAATTTGTGTCATGTAATGAGCGGATCACCGTTTTTGATAATATTGTCGGAGTTAATAATAGAAAATATTACATTTAAAGGTTTCTTTCTTACTCAATCTTATATACTTGGCATAAGGACGAGAATACACGTGCCAGTAAAATGAAATAGTAGCTGGTATGCTACTTTCAGGCATGTGTATTCCCGCTCTAACATTAATATCATGTTATATTACAGAAGTTTGAGAAACACTGTTTAGTTTGCAAATGATCTTATACTAAAATGAATAGAGTATATGCTTGTTGTACTTTGCCATAAGACTATTTACTTGTAAATAAAACTTAATTCTAGTCAAATGTATAGTGACATTATTCTTTACTTCATCTTTTAATTGTACATTCAATTCTGTTTATCGTAAATTTTGGCAGCCAATGAGCAGCTTTGTTTACTTGACTCAAAGTTGCTTGCATTCTCTTTATTCCATTTGATGTTTAAGATTTCTTTTAAATTTTATCCATATTATGATATGTCTAAATACATTTAAATTTATCTCAGTTGTGTTGTATTATTTATAAATGCACAAACTATTTGTTTATCGATAAAAATTCTTGCGATCTCTGCGATGTTTTGTTTTAAAAGTTGTTACAATTTTTATAGAATAGTGACCTTTATATTGGTACTGTACTACCTTTCTTATTTTATTTGTGATACTATTATTTTCATTTGTTCCTAAAATATAATATTATGTATAATCAGTTCAGTTTTTTCTAGTTATAATATTTATTAAAAAGAAAATGTATGTAAAAAAATATGTTATCGTGTATCAACTTTTGAATAACACTTTCATTGTTCTGCAAGTCGTCACAAGTTTCCTTTACTTTGTTTCCATTGTATGCAACCTTGTGTGTCATTGTTTATTCCAAGCTACTCGCAATGTCGTGTGTATTGTTGTAATATACAATCTTAAAGTATATTAAAATTCTTTTAATTTAAACTTATAGTTTAATTTCATATTTAACCCAGCAACAACAACAAACCTCTTCGTAGACCTATCACGATATGTGAAATATCATAATAAATGTTTTATTACAAGTAAACTAGCGCGTGTCCACGATTCCATTTGATGTCAAGTGGTGGTTAACACCATCACAAGACATAACACTATGATAACTCAAAGACTAGTACGTAGCAGCTTAGTAAATGCCTATTCACTCTACTCGTGAAGGCAGTCATGTTATAACTCATATACACATCCACTCCAAAATTATTGGTAAAAAATAAAATAAAAACCCCGGAAATAATTGATTAAGGAAAAACATTATAGGTGAAAAATGTCTTACACACTTTTCGGGCAGCTATTTCAAGATATGCATTGTCGAAAATCTGGCAAACGCCCAGAGCCGGACTGTGACACTGCCAAAATCAACAGAGGTGAGTGTCCTAAAAAAACTGTTGAAGCAAAGGCCAATCATCCTAACGAACTACCGGGTACGTCGTAACGTTGTACTCGCTGCTTGGGTCTATACGAGGCTCTTTAAACAAATTTCACCAACGTAATTTAAATGTACGGCATTATAACGAACGCTGAAACCAGAGGACTGTGTCATGACTACCTTTTTTGGCATGGGGGGAATCTGTAAAAGAACACGAATCAAGAAGAGCCTTCTAAGGGGAAGATAGGATTACGTGAGATTTGACCCACTAAAACTCCCACGGTGGTCAGCTTCTAATGCAATAGAAGAGGGATCCGTGATCTCCGTGGAACTGATCGGTACATCTCATAACTACCTATTGCATGATAATCATGACAACGGTACTCTGTAACAAAAAATATTTTCTATCGAGTCATTCGATATAGGTTCATATCGATATTAAAAAGAAATTAAAACAGTTTATATCTGGTAACAATAAACTTCTGTTACCATTAGCAACGACAAAGTTTGAAATCTTTCCAAAAATGTTGACAAATCACCATGGCAACTGAGCTAACGTCTTTGCATGTTTCGTTACCAAAGATAATGGAATAAAATAATTTTCGACGAAACGTTAAACAGATCAATAAAGCCCGAGGTAATTCAAGCTGATCACGCGATATGTCCGAGACAAAGGTAAAACCCGACCTACGTTGCTTCCTTTCCATTTAATTAATGCGACTAGGGACATGCAAGCGAGGGTTGGGACGTCAAACTTTGTTCGTGCTTTTTTATGTTGTTTCAACATCGAGGGAATACTCGACATTGACAAAATGTCTGTAAATTATTCTTTAGTTATTTAGATTACACGACTTTGTCTTTGTATGTTATCATTTTTGTTGCTACTTTATTATGCAATCTTTATCGTATGTATTAACGACATACAATCTGATATTTACATCAAAAACTTAAATAAATTTAAAAACAGTTATTCTCCTTATAACATACTTTGATGATACAGGTTATTCAAAAGAAAACTAAATCGAATTTATTAGGCACGTTACGATCCAGTACCGAGCATGGACAATCTACTGGTTCGAACAGTGAGTATGAACTTCCAAGGTTTTTAAAAACAATTTTTCGCTCTTACCTTAAACAAAAGGCCTATGTCCAGCAGTAGGCAGACAAAGGCCCATGATGGTGATTATGGTGTTAAACAGTGCAGTAACATTCAAAGTATAGAGCCAACCCCGCTAGCGCTCTTAGCAATTTAATAATATCTATTATAATTTTAGAAGCAAAGGATAAGCATTAGCTTCCTTGTTCAATACTATACAATCATGCTTCATACTAATGTAGTCTACCTGGATTTGTTTTTCTAATTCCGCGCGGACAGAGTCGCGGGCGAAAGTTAGTATGAAATTTTTGCGTGCAAATCTGTGCATTAATATACTGGTAGTACTTTTAGAAATAAGTGTTTAAACGCATATCTATTCAACAGGCAGTGTTGTAGAAGACACAGAAGGTGATGTTGGTCAAATAGGAAAACATATATCAAAGGGATCGGTAGCAATAAACAGGGATGAATATTTACAATCACATAGAGAATTAACTCACGATTACCAACAGCTCAAAATGAAGAACAACCTGTTACATCGGAGATTTGCTGATTACTATAAGTATAATTCAGTAAAACATAATATATAATAAAACATAATATAAATACATACATTCAGTAAAACATCTATAGAAGGTAGCTGATGCTTACGGGAATATATTATGCTGCTTTTTTAATTTCGCGTTTACGAACTCCCGGGAGATCGCTAGTTAAATACTAAAATTTACACAAAAAATTGATAATTTGATAAGTTAAGAATGCTTATGTCAGACGATTTAACCGAGCATTACTTTTGATTTGTAATAAAAGTATTATTTACATTTATTTTTCATTTAAGAAAACGAAAACTTGAACATGTTTTGAAACCGCTAGAAAATTCCGCTGATTTAGAAGAAAAATATCAACAAAAATTATTCACTTATGCGGATTTGAAAGAAAAAGAAGAGAAAGAAATAAATGATGTAAGGAAGAATATACATATCTAATAAACATGTGCCTATTTCTTAAACCCTCTTTTTTAACAATTAACTTGCTCTCTCATTAATGACCTTCAAAGGACTTGGTAAAATTAGTTCAAGTACTACAAATATAATTAAAAATAAAGATAGAATTTTTGATTTAATCGATTTTTTTCTTTTGATTGTGTGTAATCTTATTTTACCCAATGATGTGTTTTTTTTATTTGATAGATAAAATCCAAAATACAAGCTGTAGAAAATCAATTCAAACATAATTTGGAAAACGCTGAACACAAGTGTGATGAACTTATACAATTAGAAAGAAGCACCGGGACAGGATTGATTTATTCAAAAACTGGAAAACCGATGGGTGAAAAGGTGTGTGGTTGACAACATGCAATATTTGTGTAGTACTTTATTATGTCTAGTATTGGATCCCATTTCAAATAGTATTACTGCAACAATGATAACAAGAATATTGGTACTGAAGATAATAATACTGTGAAGCCTTTGAGTATGTCCAACCAGAAAACGGTAACAATGTTAATGATAATGATGAATAAAAATTCAGGATGTTATTTCAGACTATCGAAAGATTTCTCACGTTGCAAAGACACAAAGCTGAACAAGCTGCACAGTTATGTTTACGATTCATCAGAGTAAGGAACGCCGTAGCTGAATTGGAAGGTGTGATACGAAAATTAGAAACATTAGGCCCGGGACTACATGTCGCTCATTTTGAACAAATGTACATCGACAAACAAAACTATATGAATAAAATTGAAGGTAAAACAGTTATAATTGATGTTACATTTAGAGTTTCTATTTGTGTGACAAATATTTCATTGTTAACAGAACGTGAGGACGAATTGATTAAAAATCGCACTAAGTGTACTGAACATAATCAGATTTTGGCGCACATCCGCGAGAAAATGCATCACACCGATGAAGTTATTGACTTTACAGAGGGTGATCTCGGGGATGCAGATCTTGAATTTTTGAAAGCTAGAGAAAGACTAGGCCATGCAAAAGTAAGTATATGTCACTACTATTTATACTAGAATACTAGAGACTGCTCATGGTTTTTAGTATACGTATTTATTTATGATTAGTTGATATTTAATGAATTATTGTTGTATAGTATACAAAATGAAGAGTGATTCTTCTACTAATTTAAAAATAAAAAATGAAATACAGATTAATATGATTTTGTAAACAACATTTGAAAATAAAGCAAAGACTTACTAAATACAGGGGCAACGTGACAAACTGCGTTGGTCGCTTGAATCGGAACGAATGAAGGCAGGTCTGCTCACTAGAAGGGATTTGTTGCGTGACTTCCAAGACGCTACTGACGAGGTAAAATATACATCTAAGTACATTCACGTTTCTATTCAGTATTATAAAGAATTTTTAATAATATTTTATCGTTATTATACAAGTTGCTACATTTTCAGGTTGTAAACTTGAAGGAGAGAAAATGTCAACTTATGAATCAAATAACAAAAATAAGACATAAAATAAGAGAATCTCGTCATCAATATCAGTTTCAGCCAATAGCGTCCGTGGAATCAGAAAATCTATCTTAATGAGTATTTTTAAATATCGTTTATTATCTTTTACAAATTTCTAACAAATGTTAGCATTATATTAATTTAATGTTTTTGTTATTCGATAGTTATTTTGTTTATGATATCAAATAAAACGGTTTGGAAATATTTACTGTTTCTATAACAAAAGTAGTGACATTATTAATTTCATGTCTGTCATTGCAATAATGTTAGATTGCTCCTTATCATATTTCAGCAACCCACTTCCTCGCAAATCTATGCCAATGGTGAATAATAACTAAAAGTAATTACTAAAACTTTGTGAGTAGTTGTTATAATGAGCCATATTTTTTCTCGTACGTCGACTCTATGACGCCAGAGAACGTTACTTTATATAAAATTCAATTCATTAAAAGATAATCCTTACGTTTTATTTTATTAAAAAACGCGTCGATATTGTATCACCACGCATAGAATACATTTCTTTGTTACGAAATTATGTTTGCTCCAGATTTTTCGGTAGTTGCAACAACTTTAACATCAAATGCTTATCGTGCTGATAAGTCGACACCGTTATTTCAATTTAATACGAATCTTGGACTACATACATTTTAATCTGACCTCTTTACCCTAATATATTCTCTAAGCTATCGACTAAAGCAGTATTCAACTAAGTTTTCCCTGCAGTATTCAACGAGGTCTGTTATGGAATAAAAATTGTTGACAAATTATGATAGACGACAAAAAACATGTGGTACAGTAAAAAATATTTATTGTACGAAAAACAATGTACAATTCATTTTATTTTATATCACTTGAACTTACAGGTATCTACACAATAACAATGATATAAGAATATTTAAGTGATTTTGTACCGTCTAGGTATTATGCATTTTAAACACTGACTAGTTATACTGGTACTATTTTATAAATCTAGATATTACAACATTGTTTCTCTGAGGTTTGCTATGCTTCTGTATATTTATCACATGCTGTAATGTTTGTGTAAAATATATAAACTGCAACTCTTTTGAATATCGAATGTTTAGTGGGAGCGCAAAACGTGAACAAAAATTTTCTCAATTAAAAGTTTGGTCCGTGCTCACAATGTTGCGAATTGTAGTCTACAAGCCCACAGCTACAAAGTTACATTATTGCTACACTGGACTTTTATAATAAGGAATGTGTTTAACATTAACATACATTTCAATACAAATTTATCCAGATTCAAATTTTTACTCGAATGTTATTTCTAAAAATATTTCTTGGTCCCTTCATCAACTCCCTTCATTTTAAAAAGTACTTGTGTTATAATTAATTAACATGCTGCTTGTTCGTTTATAAGATTTTTAAATGTAGATAAATCCGGATAAGCAGAAAGATTAAAATCTGTATTAATTAGTTGTGGCCCTTGAGTAGACACGTACAAAAGAGTACTGTTGCTCCTGACTTGCTAAATCATATGTCATGTACTTTTTTCGATTATGTGTTTGTTGATCAAATTTGTTGGAACCTCACATCGTCATCCATCATTTCTATCAGATAATTTGACAGATTCTGGTTCTTCAGGAATCTCTTCACGTATCAATGAGCCATGTTTCCAGCCTTCAGGGTAGCCATACTGTCGAACGTCGTCCCACCATTGCTGTTGACCGTCTGCCCAGATACAGTACACAACATTCGTGCCCACCAGTACCACGAAACAAACCCAAAATGCTGCACGCCACTGGACTAGAGTTGACTGTAAATTAAAGTATAAGACAACTGTGAGATAAAATGGGATGGACAAATAAATTTGCTTGTATTATTACATGTACAACGAGGCCAAGAACTCCAGAAAGCCCAGAACCACCTCCGGCTAATCTGTTTTACAAATATTTACAAACATTTACTTCCTTCTACATCTTTGTGTTTCAACATAACATTACAATTACGATTACTTACATCAGGTGTCAACAATCCAATTAGATACGGTGTCACAATACCCGCAAAGGTAGACGTAGTGTTTACCAGTGACGTCAGAGTTCCAGCATAATTTGGCGCCAAATCCAATGCATTTACCTGAACACAAAGTATATAAATATAATATTTTCGGTCATACAAGGACCATAAGCTTTATAACATGCAATACGTGTAGTAATGTTTACTGCAGCGTTTTATAAATTTTATTATTTATCATATGTTTCATTGATAAATGAGGTACAAATGAAAACGATTCCTCCAATTCCAATTCAAGACCATGATATCTTAAGCTCTAACAATATTAACTACTACCGCTTCCTTCTAAATATCATGTTTAAAGACGGAGGGTTTAAATTAACATAATGTTACGATTAATTTCAATAACGAATGTAATTACCTTCATACCGCTGTAGAAACCACCCATTAGTGCCATTGATAGAATAAAGTAAACCATAGCGGCTGTGCGATCGCATCCCGCGTATGAAGCTAAGATTATGCAAATCGCAGGACCAGTGGCGGCTGCAAAATAAATATCATTTATTACAATGTACGTGAATTTTATCCAGTTATTTTTATATAGCGAATTTCGTTCAGTAGATTTCGGATTTGTAATATTACTCACCGATAGTTGTATGAATAATTCTGCCAGTTTTGATCGTGTGCCATCCCTTCTTGATGCATAAATCACATACGAAACCGAAGAGGAAGGAGCAAATCCACATAGCGATGTAAGGTAGGGCTGTCAACGTGCCAGTGGTCGCTATGTTGAATTTGAGCACATCGTGAGAGTATTTCGGCAAGTCTGTTACCATTGTATAATAACCCCAGTCATGGCCGACCTGAAATCGAAAATGTAAATTAATTACTTGAAATGAAAACAGTTAAATAGAATGGCGTTATGAAAACATTGTGTTCTGTTTTACACCTTCCCTTCGCAGTCTAAATTACATTGATGTTTTCTATGTTGTAAGGTTTCTCTAAATTATTTGATTTGGATTTCGCGACTATGTTTTTTATTATATGATTATTGGACTACATTTTCATTTATTAATCAGAATTCAAATCAAATCAACGAACAAAAGTGATAACTATTTGAACAATAGTTTTTGTTCTTTCAACAATAACAAATCATTCGTACGAAGAAAAGTATGCGAAATTGAATAACTACGCCCACTGCGCATTACGCAGCTAGTCTGCCGTCGGGCCGTCCATCTTGTTGAATACAACGTGTTGCTCAAGGCCCAGCGTCGGACACGGACATTAATTGTTTACGCAACATTGTTTACATGGGTAAATACAATTACAAACATTTAAGCCTTTTAAAACCTTATTTGCTATAATTGAACTTATTTCAACATACAATGTTATGAAGAAGGAAGTGACGACTAAAATATTTAAACATAGTATACTATATATCGATACTATATACAAGTCATAAATTTATCTGGAGGACGAAAATCTAGATGCCTATCCTATAAGGGATATGATGATAATGACCAATATTTCTAATTTATCTGTTACTGTTTATCTAGCCTCCTAGGTTTGCCATTAGCAAGGATTAAATACTGCATTCACAGTGGTTTTATCGTACAGAGTATTTTTAATGTAATAAAACGGGGCAAACGAGCAACCAGAACACAAAGGTGGGCAATGACGCCCATGGTCATCCGTAATTCCACGGAAACTACAGATGCATTGCCCGCCTTTGAAGAAATGGTAGGCTCGCTACTTGAAGGACCCTAAGTCGTACTGGTTCATAGTCTAGTAATTATTAAAGGAAATCTACACAAAAATACTGCTTCAGTAACCGTTAAACGAGTCTGAGTACCGCAGGTAGTAACTGTATGATATAAAAACTTGTTATGATATCTAAATGTATTTTTAAAATCATAAAACAGGTCACAATACGAAACGATAAATTTAAATGGATATTTAAACATGCATTTGCATTTTAATATTTGCGTGAAGTTCCTTCACGGTGATTAGATAATGTACAACGAAGCAGAAGGCCTTGAATTTGTCGTAATATTAATTGCAGGCGTAAACAGTGTTTTTGATTGTTTTAAAACTAGTTAGGGTAAAAAGAGAATAGTTAAATAACGCTTCTGTTTGCGTTATCTTAACCCGATCAGTCTATCGTTGAAAGTACACTACTAACTACTACATCATAAAGAAACTTTTAAAACGCACTAAATAATCATCATAAAAATCCATGACATTTTTAATATATGTCGTGGAACTGAATCAAAGTCTAACGCTATAACTAGGTACTCTTTCAACTGAGCTTAAAGTCCAATCTAAACGGCGACTTAAAAAGCAATGGACTTGCAGTAATAAAACTAAACAACTTACAGCCGCCCACACCAACGCCCAGACAGGCGCGGATCGCAATATTGCCTTCCACGGAACCGGATCCTTTGCGGTCTTATTCTCAGCCGTTGTTACGTTCTTGTTTAGATAGTTTAACTCCTTCTTAGATATATACGGGTGTGTATTCGGCGTGCTGTAGCATAGAAGACTCTGGAATTGTAAAGGAGATTTTAGATTTGATGATATAAAAAGGTTATTTTTTTGAATGTACTAGTAATTGCAATTATCTTCCTTGCCGTATTCTATTTTTATCTTTTATTTTTCATCTGTAGTAAAGCTAGTTAAAAATTCCTAGACAGCTTGTAAAATATAACAAGCAGCTTAATTGGGTTTAAAGAAACAATTTTATATCCTTACCCATAACGTGAACCAGAATATACCGAATCCACCAAAGAAGTAGAAGACATAAGCCCAATCTCTGCCATCGGCGAGCAACACGCCGGACATGAAAGAGCCGAATATATTTCCTATCTGCGCACCACCGAATACCAATGCACCTTGGAAGGATCGCTCGTGTGGAGGCACCCACCTAGCTAACATTATCATTAAAGCCGGCATCGTTGGGCCCTGCGGATCAAATTAAAATGAAAACTTTAATTAATTAAAATCTAACATCTATAATGCTTTTATTTTTGTTAAAAACATCTGACTATTAGAAAAAAAAAATGCTTTTACAACTTGTTTAAACTAATTTTACAACAAATTATAATACTTTGTCTTATTAAGATATTATCTACCTCTCCCATTCCTTGTAGAACACGAAGTATAAAGAGCCAAGTTGCTCCTCCAGCTCTGATAACAATTGGAGTTAAGAATGTGAATAAGGCTGTGCTCAGCAGACCCACGCCAAGGGTCCATTTGCCACCGTATCGTTCAGCCAAGTAGCCTCCAGGGACCTGCGTCGCCGCGTACCCGTAGTAGAAACCGCTCAGAATAAGCCCTTGAGTCTTCTCGTCCCATTCAAATGTAGCATACTGAAAGGCAATAGAGAGAATTTATGGCTATGCAATTTCTTTGTATTCAGGGATCGTAATACATTTACTGCGAAGGCATAGAAATGTATATCAAACGAATGTGTTATTGCATTGTTATTATAACTATTTAAACCATCAACAAAGTTATGATCTTCTGCCTTATTGACAAGAACTAATTTAACTGTCGTCATTAAAATAGTAAGATGGTTTATAACTCTAGCATCAAAAGATACACTAATTTTAATTTTTAATTTAGAAAATACTCATTTTCTATCAGCGGTTTTAGTTTAATGTCAAAGGTCTTAACTCATCACTGTCTTACTAATTAGGTCAAGTATTTTTATAAAACAAATGATTTAAATGTCCATTTCATTTTACTTCAAAGTTAATTTTATGCGGAGTTATTGGATAGTAAACCTTTTGCCAATCGTAATAACGTTTGAAATACATTAAATGTCCGTTGATTTTTTTCTAAATATTTGTTAATCTAAATCTAAAACTTAATATATAAAGATCAAACCTTAAGCACTTGATAATGTTAAAAAGATTTCTCAATTTTTAAGGTTATCATACTACAAGAACAGTAATCATTGTTCAATTTTATTATAGCAAGGTTAAGACATACTTAGTAGAAAGCATAAAGATACAAATAGTTTAACGTAATTTCTTCATTGCTATTTCCGGTTACAAGTGTGAACTATAGGCGACAACTCCACCCACACATTTCGTTCTTACAAAAGCTCAAAGCGACCACACAAAATGTATACAAATTATGTCATGGAAAATTAGTAAAGCATATTTCCTCAGTTTTGTATTTAAATATACCAGAAATTCCATTCAGTTGACTGGTGTGGTAGATGATAGGTAAATATTGGCGAATAAAATAGAGTTTAGTCAAATGTAAGGTAGATGTTATAGAGGTTAATTGTTTTTGTTTATGATAAATGTAACAAGGGAGTAGGCAAAAGTGGCTTCGGAAAATCCATTCCTAAGACCAACTGTTAATTCGGGCCATTGTCATTTTTGTAAGCTTGTTTCATTGTTTTCTTATTTTGTTCGTTCTTTTTCGATTTACTGTAATAGACTTAACTTACCGGTCTTAAAGCCGCTGTCGCGTTACCAACTACTTCATCATCAGGACATGCGTCAGGATCGTAATGGGATCCAGCACTTTTGGTGTGATTGACCATCTGTGTTATTGCTAAATTTAGACAAACTCGCATCGTGTATGCATTGCACACACCGAGAAGTCCCATAACACCTAAAATATACCTTTGTGGTATCACACAACCTAGAAAAAATAGACATTATTTGAATTTTGAACATAAGATGTAGAATAACTTAATATTGAATGCAGGAAAATAGTCGTTAGTGATTAGTTAGCCGGTTTACGTTGTTGTTGGATAATAGTTTCAATGGAGCTATTATTGGCACCAGAAATAACGTATGCCATTAGTATGTCTATGGTTAACATGGAAATAAACGTTAATAGATTATAAATTCTAACATTCCTGTTGATTTAAAATAAGCCGCTCATTTATCTGTGTACGCAACGAATGTAGAATAATAACGAGGTAGACACCTTTACAACGCAATATGCAAATAACAAGAACTTGAAAGTACCAGGTGATCAGACTTATTGATGTAATATTATAGTCCATTCGAATCTCATCCTTATGGAGTAAACTTTAAAGCTGAAGGGCTGTGAAGGTACATTATCTTATCATAGATTTTATGATAACGTAATAGGCTATTTGAAAATTGTACACCGGCAGCTATTTTAAAACAAAATTATACCTTAACGAGATCTTCAAACACTTCAAATGAAGTAGTCTTGTGAAAATTAAAGTAGTCATTCTTATAAAATTTAGATTTTCTTTTATAATTTGTATTTGGCATTTATGCTATTTTCCACTACAAAATTTGTTTTCAGTTTATGCATATGTTGACATTGATAAATATATTTCTGTGCTTTATGTCTACCCAAATTTATTATAGTAACGCAAACATACGTATCATTGTATTGTATAATGTTTTTTCTCATACTCTTGATTTATAACGTGTTTTAGTGAAACTTCGTACTTTGATGATATTTATGTTTGTTGAAATTTATTTGCTTGCATAGTATTTTTATCATATATATTCTTTATTACTGTTTTTCTAATCCAACCTAAATTGTCATCAATTGTTTGTATAGTTTACATTTAAAGAACATAGACAGTTAGATCTCTCAGATGATTTGAACAGAAAAAAACATTGAAAATATTTCGATTTTTTTGCTGTAGTTTCATTTTTCGATGATAGAAAACGTCAGTTAGACTTACATGATCGTAGTGTTCTCGTTAACGCGTTGTCTTTCCTTTTCGTTGGGATTTGTGTTTTCTGTCCGAGTAAATTGTGCGCTTGCACAACATTCATATCTTCCATTTCTTAGAAAATTATGTATTCAGTATCTGAAAGTAAACGTAACAAAATTTTCTATAAATAAACACATTTATTTACACTTCGTTATCTTTATGTCATTTAAACGACTTTCATAAACATCTAGGATATATTGTTGTATGTAAAGTAGTTGCTATGTTGATTTGTATGGTTCATCTTTACGGTATACGGCGTGTATATAGCTGGTCTATTTCTAGAATGTTCGTGGAAATCACTTCTATTAACGACATATTTTTGATTGATAGCCCATATATAGCAAGATATAGTTATTTTTAGTATTAGTAAATTGTTCTTTATTCAAATTATGAGTTAAAATTAAATAGATTAGATTCAATCGTGTTTTGTTACTAGCAGAATGAATTGAGATTCGATTAGTAACTGCCGATTTAAATGAAAAGGTGACAAATGTAATTTCAAATTATAATTTTTCTAATAAAAATGTATCAGAGTTGTGTAAACTGCCTACGGTCTTAATTATGGAGCTGTTAATTTATGAACCAGCAATACCCGAAAGCAATAAAATGTTAATGCGAACCATGGAAGCATTTGTTGAACCCATCTGTGTCAGTGATGCCATCGTTTTGCATGACGTAATCACAAATGTAAGATCTAATGGTTTTTATATTTTTGAATAAACAACGAAGTATTCTTTATATATCGTTTTAACTGATGTCTCGTGAGGAAGACACAAATGTGAAAGATCTTGAAGAGGGTACGACAGCAATATGCTAAATCCATGAGAATTTTCTTGGTATTGTTTGTAATTAAAAATGTTGCTTTTTGTTTTAGATTCTTTAAACACATGCATTTAATTTTACAATACAACCCGGTTCTCATCAAGCTTATCAGATTCAAAAAATGTATTATTTTGTGCAAAAAAGTTTACTTTTTGCGATTTGTTTTGCAAATATAAAATAGTTTAAAGTGATTGGTAAATGACAATTGAGAATCGAGCCATACACAGTTACCTTCTGTGGGTGGTTCGTTAAATATGATGGTCAGTCAATAAGACTGCTAAACTTTCTTTAATGTTTATTAGAATATAAAATATATTATATATTGGAATATAAATAGAAAATATTTTACTTGTATGATAGATAAAATTGTAACATTAATTTTAAAAGTAACACTTAAAACAAACAAGTTAAATGTAATTTTTGAAATATTTATCATAAACGTAGAGTGATGAATGGAATAACATCGATTTTAATAAAAAAATATTCTGTCACCATACATCATAGCCGCAGCTGTGCGTCTAGTATTTTGATACTCAACATGAAGTGTTTACCCGATAACCGATAAGAATTCCATCATAATTACCTTATTCGAATAACACGTCAATAAACACTATATTTTATTTCATTTACTATCATATAAATAGCAATAAAAATCACTAAATCACACGCGTCAGTCGCGCGGCACTATTCGCAATAAATAGCCAGTACACAATATAAAGTTTATCGTTTCATCAATTTGTTTGTACGCATTATACGAGTGTCGCCGTTGGCCACATGGCGAATATTGTCATGGACCGTAACGTTAGGCGCCAAAGCCCAACACGAGGTTGTCGGCCTTGAATGGATTGGCTTTGGAGCCGGCGTGTGAACTGGTGATACCTGTTATGCAGTCGGCGAAATCGTTCGTGTGAAATCTATACGGGGGTATGGTTTGGTTTTTGTAATATTGGAAATTATACTGTCTGTTGTTTTTCATAGTTTTCAAATATCTTTTATTACATTGACTGGTGATCAAAATTATTCGTTCATCAATTCCCGTTCTTCTAAGCAAAACTTTTGAAGATCTCTTCCTTTTATATTAATTATAACCAAAATTAAATTTTCCGATAGAATATTATTCTCAGTTTATGTTACTAACAAAGTCTTAAATACTAAGAACTTTAGGCACAAGGCTCTAAGACACATAATTAAATGGTCTCTACCCACGCTAGTTTTGAGATTAAGACATCGTATTTGAATAAATATTACACGTCCTAACAGTTTCAAAATAAATTTGGTATTTTTAAAAAAAAAATCAGTGTAATGAATTTTACAGCTTTTGGAATTTCATTTTTTGCATTGCTTCTCATGCAAAAAATGTTCATATTGAAATGTAGTCAAATTTCAATATTTGCATTTTTAACCGCGCTATAGTTGTATTATTATTGGCAACTTTTAACCGTTAATTGTTAATGTAGGTATTAATTTTCTCGTATTTGTTTAAAAGATATAATTGCTGTTAAATAAGCTAAAATAGTATTTACGTCCTTAACATACCATTAAAATTACGAATGTTAGTAAGCAAGATTAATTTATTCGTGTAAGCGAATGCTTTGCGTTTGTGAGTGAGATTGATAGTCCCCTTGTTGTTATTTGCAACTAGCTGTTGCTCGCGACTTCGCACGCGTCAATTTAAAAAATAATAAAATACAGCCTATGTCACAAATGTATTATCTTTTCAACAGTGAAAGAATTCTTAAAATCGGCCCAATAGTTTTTATGTGAATCGAATACATACAGAAGGACAAAAATACAAATCTTTCCTCTTTATAATATTGAGTATAGGAGTATATAAGTATATGAAGGAGTGTTTGACCACATTATTGTAGCTTGATAGCTGAATGCGCAATCAGGCATGAACTGGGATTGGTTACAGACCGACGTTGCTATTGTTTATAGTTAGGATTAGAACTACTCTAACAATATCGCTATAGATATTCCTTATTGAGGAACAAGCATGATGCTCCAACCAATGAGAAGTTAAGTGACTTACAAATTTGTACCAAATTTTTATAGCAAATTTAAATGTCTAAGGTATTTTGCGCATAAAATTGTGTATCAACAGGCATTGAATGTAATGTTATTGCCAAATTTGACCCAAAATAAATAAAGAAAGTTAAAAAATGCTATTAAATAAATGACTTTATTTATAAATTATCAGTTAAAAAGAACTATCATATCCAATTGTTTAAACATTAGTCCGGTTGCGAAACGTTGCGAATCGCGATTAATAGAAGGGTTCATTAACCTTTTTGGCAGCAAACAAACTTGATTTGCCTGTACGAGTACATGCCAGTGGTATTGGTAGTAGAGTATAGTTAGAGTTTTGATTATTCAACAAGTTATTTTTAAAGGTCAGAGTCTTGATAACTTAATGGATACAAGGTCCGGATTTCATGTACTGAATCTATATTAAAATTTTATAGAGTATGCGTAAAGTTACGTACATAATTTTTCTACAAAATTTTTTTGTATTACTAATTTTTTTTTGTAATCATTTACTTTTTTACATTTTATATTACGTTTTACAAATGTATAAATGTAAAGTTTACCATGATGTATAAACAAGCACGGAGTAATGATTCTAGTTTTTATTTTTAGTTAAGTCAAGGTTAACTATACAATTTACCTATAGGTTTACCAAAACATTTCCGCTTTTTTTGTTAACATTTGTCAACACAAACAATACTATTATAGCTACACTATGTTTCACGACACAAGTTGCAGATATTATAATAAAAATTATGTTTGTTTTAATTTCAGATACAAAACTATATAAAACTTATGATGTTTACGATTCAAAAAAAATTGCGAGATTTTGTACTGTTTATGAATGGAAAGTTTTTTCAGCTTATACGGACTTCGTTAAAATATTTGCCTTATCAATTCCAAGAAAATTTTATTACCAAAAGACGGCAAAATTGTTATTTATCTTTATAATGATTTAGTATGACATATGACATCAGTGTTGTCATAAAATAGGATATTATCAGTTTATGTTTGGTTAACTACCGCACGATTCAATGTCGTGTAATCAACATCGTTAATTAGTTACTCAACATAATCACTAGGGTAACAAATTATTTTTACCATAACTCTTTTTTACTTAACAACCGACTTTCACGTTATTTAATACTAGCTTTCGCCCGTAATTTCGTCCGCGTGAAATTGAAATAACAAAAGTAATTAGCCTAAATGTTCTACCAGACAATCCTCTACTTCTATACTAAATTTCATCGAGATCCGTTCAGCCGTTAAGACTACAAACTATAAAAAACATCTATCCATCTAAAATTTCGCATCTATAGTATTAGAAAGACTTCTAGAGTAGGTGTACCTTTTCATTCTTGTAGTCCCTGAAATAGATGAGTAGAGCCCTTGTTAGCTTTCTGGTTTTCCTTGTCGATCCAAACTCGTTTTTGTAATTCGTGTAGACATTCTTAACATATTTTGACAAGTTGAATATTAAGATTAATTATAGAACTTTGTGAGTAAAGATATGACGGCTGATAGAGATGTGTAGAAGAGCAGCACATACTGTGCCGACCCTTCATAAGAGATTAGAGCAAGTTGATGATGTGAGTAAAGTCCCAGGTCTCCTAATGCGGTAAAATATTAACCTTAAAAATATTTGCTACCCACATTTGGCTTAGAATAGTAAATTTATTTAAAAACAATCATCTTATCCCAAATCTTATCCTACTACCGTAGTGTCAGCGCAGCGGGTTTTCGTTTTCCAAATAACTCTATCTTCCGACATCTCAGTCATTACTCTTGATAATGTCACCTTTCACGCAATACATCCATCCTTAATTTAAAAAACAATATTTTAACATTTAATTAAAAACCCTATATTGAATAAAGACAACTAAAGCTAACAGTTAAAAAGACAGAAGTAAGAAATTTGAGTTCCTAAAACATTGGCACAGAAATAACTAGAATCTTGTCGCAACATCTGATAATCTAATAAATTAGACACAATTAAATTTAAATTTATGTGGAAAATACCAGTGTTATATCTTGACAGATAACGTAAAAACTGCTCGTTATAAAAATAACAAGCTTTTCCCGTCACCTTAATCTAATTATTCAAAAGTCAGTTTATACGCCGACTTTAATTTGACTATCAACGTTTTAGTAAAGGAACTTCCTTATTTATTAGCTGTTGCTCACGACTTCATCCACGCGATTAAAAAAATAATAAAAAACATACCTTATGTTACTCAATGATAATGTAGCTTTTTCAGGGTGTAAAATTTTTTTAAATCGGCCGAGTAGTTATTGAGTTATTTCAATATATACAAAAATACAAATGTTTCCTCTTTATAATGTTAGAATAGATTACTTCTTGATCTGCCAGGCATTATTAATTAATTCGCGAACATTAAACGCCTTAAAACAATAAAATCCGTCTTAATAAGCCACTAAGGTCCGGAAACTTTTATTAATGAGTAAGATAGTTAATAATTAATTCGAATTAAAAATTTAAATAAAACGGTCATGGTCATATCAATTGTTGCGTCAGTCAACTTTAAACGTTCCCACATGTTTTTGTACTGCAGGTCAAGAGGCGATGGTCCGTATGCGTAAATAAATAAAAACATTTTCGTATTCATTTGTTTAATCAATGTGAATTGGGTCAATGGAATGATTGGATACACTTAAATTTTCTTAGCATGGTTCGGTTAAACTAAATTAAAATAGACTTTAACATATAGTACCTACCTAAAGGGTACAACTGGATATGAAGAAAGGAAACCTTTTATTTCCGTAACATTTATTTTGACGGTCAAAATGGCGGAGCGACCGCTAGCCAGCAAGCTCTCACCCCCGCGACTCCGTCAGCGCGGAATTAAACTTAGTAATTGGCCTATCTGGTCTTCCTGATTATATTTTATATATCTGTACCAAATTTCATCGAGATCATTTGCATCGCAGTTTAGGATACAAACTCTAACAAACATCCATCCAAACATTTATAATATTAAAAAGATTAAATACAACTTTATACACTGCCACTATCTATAAATATAAATTAAAATAAATGTAATTTGACAAAACTCTTCTTTATTTGTTTCTGTTCTGGAATTCAAATATTTATTATGAACTTGTATCATGCTCCTATGTTTAAGTAATTTTCACAGAGACAGTTCTTTACATATTGCATTCGCAGTGTATTCAGCTGACAGCGTGCGAATGTAGAATTGAATGTCTTAAAAGAGACTCGAGTATTTCAATAAAAGAAGTAAAAAAGCGTAGTAAATAATGGAAAATGCTCTTTCAAATGGAATGAGGAATGTTTTGCGTAAAACATTTTGGTATGTCCTAACCACTTTCTATGTAATAACTGAGATCTAAACATGTTTTATGTCGATGTTTTTGCAGTATAAACTGATGTTGAAACATGTACATTTTGCTGGTGCATTGCGGCTGAAGTGTAGGTCTAATGGTCGTATTACACGCTATGAAAGGCTAAAAATGTATGCAAATTTCGATCATCCGTCTTTTACGATAAGCGCTTTTTAGAATGTAATCTGAAAAATGTTAATATGTTATGACCATTTTTAATTTATAGCTATCATCGCAATCTAACATGATAAAATGATAATTTGGAAATGTTGCGTTAATTTTTTTTTAATTCTGAAATGTTTGAGTTGAACGAAACCTTTTTAGGGAAATTTGACTACTAGGAAAGGTCCATAAGGCTATTTTTTTAAGATTTGTAGCGATAAAGAGCAAAGTAGGAAATAAATTGCCTTATCTTACTACCATGGATAATTGCAGCATTTGCATGCAGGCTAGGGAGTTCGTTCATCGATCGCATTTCAAATGAAAGGCCGTTACTTATAACAAAGCTAAGCATAGACATGATGAGCAAAATTCTTTGTACATAAGTTCCTTGTTGACGATACCCGTAACTGTTGTGCAAACAATAGACTTTGTGATGCAATTATTTACTCCCACGTGGATTTTACAAACCTCTGGAGCCTTGTGATTGTTTTGTTTAAGTTTCTTATAGCAGCGACTATAATTTGTGTCGGCCCAATTTCAGTACCTTTTCTTTACCACCCTTTCTCTTATAAGAAAAGGATGGGAAGAGAACGTGGATTTGACGGTGGAGGAGATGCATAGGAAGGGGAAATAACCTGTTTATGTGCGTCTCTTCCTTGGTCAATTAAGGCTAGGTAACGCCGAATGCGTTTGCGAATGTCTATGGCAGCGTTCGCTTCGCCATTTCGGCGGATTTATGTGGCCGCTTGCTCGTTTGCCACCTTATGGTATAAAAAAAAATATGTAAGTAAGAATTTAGTTTAAAACAAATGTGACGGTTATAGGTTTTATTAATTTTAAATTCACAATTATTTTTCATTCATTAAATAATATAGACAATTGATTAAATCGGTACGTGTTCTAACATAAAACGCGTAGACAATGTCTTTGGTATTTGCATAATATATTCTATACAAGGTTAAGTGATGGATTAGTATGCCCCTCGTATCGAGGCTACGATGATCTCACAAACGGATTAATTCTAAACTCTCATGAACCTCATTGAATGGATGCTTTTGTTAATCGAGCTTCAAGTCTGTTATTAAGCTTCATTAATGTAATCGATGAGACTGTCTCTAGCTTATAGTGATTGAAGATTCTAAAACAGTTTTACTATAATGTGATGCAATTTACTTTAAAAAATAAGAAAGTATAATAGTTAATATACGATACTAATAACACGATACTTGAGATAGTCAATATTAACCCAATGAATATATTTAATTTTTGACGTTTGTAAATTACATTTTTAAAACATTTAATATTAAAACTTTGGACCTCAAAACATATAACCGTCGATGTACGCCATAGAAATAAAGATTTTGCTAGGTTTGTTTTTTTAAATAAGGAATATGTAAACATTGACAAAAAGTTTTGTTATAATTTTATGTCGTACAAAATCCATTATACTCGTAGTAATAGGTAAATTAAGTCTAATAGAACATAGCGCCTGCTAAATAATGATCAAGAGTAAAATTAACAATTTGCTATTTAATAACTTTAGGTGCACAGTACGACAAAATATTAAAATGAATAAAATTTATTTTTTCTATTAAAAATGTAAGCAGATCCACAATTCTTAAGTTCATGAGAGTAAATATTTTTAAGGTAAAAAAGAAGAAATTATAAGGTGTCTCAAAATGGTGTTAAAGTGAAAAATAAAACTATATTGTTTACATTTATTTAATAACTTATTATAAAATTAAACATTTAATAAACTCTATCACAACTGTAGTAAAATGCTATATCACAAAAATATAAATTTACAAATGTCTTAGGGCCTGTCCCACCAAATTTTAAATAGACTGATAATAATTGAACGTATAAAATATGCGATGGAAATATCGGATTTTCCCTTATCACAGTGACGTCATTTTTAAGCGATCTGAGCCTGTATCAGCCAGTGGTGGAATAGGCCCTTATTATATTAACATTAACACGATCATCGGATAAACTCAGATACCCGATATTTTATCGAGTAAAGTTAAGTACATTATTTAGCTTAAAACTTGTTTAATTTTTTGCTAAAATAGTAACTTAGGTAACGTAGGTAATGACAAACTTGTCAATAATCTATTAATAATTTAATATGTAAACGAGTTAATACTGTTATTTCACGCAATTTATTTAACATGTAAAAGCAAATACGTTTTTCCATAAGTTCCATAATTTTACTGCGCCTTTTTATGATTTTTTAAATTGAATTCTCCAAACAATAATAACATGGGTACAAACATTTCTTAGGTTAAGTACATTGTTATTAAATACAAACCAGTGAAAGGAGACAATTTTACAAGTAATACATTTCGAATAGTAATAGTATACTATTTAATATACATTTTAAACTCATAGTTACTATTTATTAATATAAGCTATATGTGTCATTAATTTATTAAAAAATCACTTAATAATACGTTTTATTATTAGCATGTACAGTTTATACTCTACATAATAATATTTAACTTCCATTAAAACAGTAATGGCACTCTCGAAATACGCACACTGTGTAAATTCATTTAAAACTACAAATAATTAATTTCCTGTTCAAATATCACGTATTTATTTTCTATTAGCATTCCCAACAAATACTTTAAAAAAAAAACTATTATTTTTTATTCTGTTGTGGAAATTTTCTCTAATTCTTTATGTAACTTTAAACTATATAACAGAGGTTTTAGTACGAAAATATGCGAAAAAGAAATTCGTACGGATATTGACTAAATTTGCATCGAACTTGTGCAACGCCCCAATCGTGTGGAAAGTACACAGACAACTCTAATTTATTTTAACAAATTTTCGTTTCAGACCAACTGTAAAGTTCAACAGAGTATTTACTAAACAACTTTAGTAACATCCTCAAAATTATCTTCCATTTTAATACTGA